TGTGTTATCCCGAGACCGGACGCCCCTAGGCCCGAGCTGTTACCCCTTCAGGGTTGGGTTTACTTAACTGTGGGGGTTTGTGGGTTGTGTGGTTGGAGTGTTGCTCCGCGATCTTTAGGGTTAGAATTGGTTCTTATTAGTGGTTACTTCTTTAGGTGTTCTTTTAGGTTCCTCGGTCATGGATGGCCCTGCGACTTCGCTCCCTGGTCTTGATGATCAACATGGTTCTATAGGGGTTCTATAGGGTTTCTATAGGGTTCAGGGTTTAGGGTTTAGGGCTTAAGGGGTTATAGTGGTTGTATTGGGGTTTTATAGGGTTATATTGGGGTTATATGGGGTCATCCTGGGGCTATATAAGGTCATATTAGGGTTATATAATATAAGGGTATAGTATAATATTGGGAATATAGGGATAATGGAAAATGAAATGGAAACTGCTATAATGGGGTTATATAGGGTTTAGGGTTTTAGGGTCTCAGAGTTTCAGGGTTTTAGGGTATAAGGTTTTAGGGTCTTAGGGGTTTAGGGTTTAGGCTGTCCAGCTTTATGTCAAGAATTTAAGGTCCAGAGGTGTATGAGGTTAACGCCTGCCAACAAAATCAGCGGCTTGGGAATGCATCTATAGTCCCCCTTAAGTAGATAGAATATGGAGTATATGGAGATCTTATTATGATATACTCAAAGCTATATTCTATCTACTTTAGGGTGACTATAATTTCAGTTCACCCGACAAAAAGCTGCGCTCCGCTCATACTGAACCCTAAACCCAACATGCTACACCCTAAACCCCAAACCGGTAACTGCATATTCTAGCTCGGGTCCTAAAATTTAGACCCCAAAAACAAGATAGTTCTAATAAGACGGACTCCCAAAAACTGACCCTGATTTCTAGATACCCAAAACCGTTGGTGGTTCAGTGGCCGTTCTGACATGCTGCTTCAGGCGTTGACATACGGGGCTTCATGTTCGATGAGCAGAAGGTCTCTGCGGGGTTTAGGATTTAGGGTTCAGGGGCACAATTTGTTAAAAGGAATGAAAACTGATGGCACGCGCACAGATCGCCTGGCGATGTCGGCGCGTTTTGATGTCTTTTCAGGGTTTGCCGCCTTCTCCGCTGAACACGGAAGAGCATCTGATGACCGGTGCATCCATGCCCAGACCATAATAACGTTCGTGCTCCGAGTGCATCCGACGAACACTGCATCCATGCCCAAACCATGATAACGTTCGTGTTCCGAGCGCATCCGATGACCAGTGCATCCATGCCCAAACCAAACTAACGCTCGTTTTCCGAGTGCATCCGATGACCGGTTCATCCATGCCCAAACCATAATAATGATCGTGTTCCCACAGCATACGGTCACAAGTGCGTCCATGCCCAAATCACAATGCCGCTCGTGTTCCGAGTGCTTCCGATGACCAGCGCATCCATGCCCGAGCCATAATAACGTTCGTGTTCTCGTGTTCTGAGAGAATTCGGTACCAGGTCACCAGTGCATCCATGCCCAACACCAGCTTCAGCGGAATGGACGCTTGGCTGTCCATCTGCAAGCTGGAACTCACACTGAAGCTTCAGCGCACGGAGCGTGCTGAACAGTAGATCTGCAAAGCTCAAGCGCAAGGCCACGCAGCATTCACTCTTGCGATCAACCTGGTTGCAAGCTGGAGTCCCCTCGCAGACACGGCTCAGGCCTCGCGACGGGTTGCACAGGCCGCGCTCACAGGCTGTCGGTATCCACACTCAGCAAACACGCCATGCAAGCAATTCAGCACATCATCTCGTCACGACCTTTCAAGGTGAATGCTAACACCTCAGTTTCGCGCACTTTTCAGCCCTCACATGCAGGCGCTCTATGCTCGAGTGACCAAGTTGGGTAGCCCCGCGCGGCTAGCCACAGAATTGAATAGCATTGCAAAACCAAATATAATGAGATAGCAAGTCCATGCAAAGCCAAGCTTTACCTAAACCCTAAGCCCTAAAACCCTAAATCCTAAACCCTAAAACCTTAAACTCTAAACCCTAACTGCATGTTTGGGAAACCCTCTAAATCCTTCAGGGCTGTGTCGTGCGCAGAGCTGGCGAGGTTGTGGCCGTGCTTCGCGACCACAACCTTGCTGCTGAAGGTTTAGGGGTTGGGGGTCTTTAAAGGCGGATATAGGGGGTATATAGGGATTATATAGGGCTTTATAAGGTCTAGGGTTCAGAGTTTTAGGGTTCAGGGTTTTAGGGTTTAGGGTAAGGGGTTTAGAGGCTTTGGAGCAGCGCAAGGCCCAATGCGGGAAGTACGTTTAGGGCTTAGGGCTTCTGACCCACAGATCACTCCTACATTCCCCCCCGCTCAATAAGTTCATATTGACCTTTAAGGGGAACCTTGAAATCCGCAATCCTCGGCCCTTCTGATTCACGAAAAAAGCTGCAACTTAAGACACATAAATTTCATGGAACTAATTCCATAATGAAATTGTATTCGGGTTTGACATTAAGTCCCAAACAAAGGGTGTTTATGTAAAGGGGTAGACCAAGGGATTAGGGGCAGGAGGCTATTTGGAGGTTGCAAGTTTTACGGGGCCCCTTTAGGTAGCTGAAAGTTGAACGCCCCGTGTGGAGTAAGGTTGTAACATTCCCTTAATCCTAAAGCCCTTAGCCTCTGGAACCTACTTGCCTTTAGATTGAGTCCTGAAGACCTCTGCCCTTAGGAGCTGGGCCTTTCCCACAATTCGTTTCATATCCTTAGAAAGAAACGGTTTTGAGTGTAGGCTTAGATGGAAATATTCATCTAAGTGCTTGCTGGAACATGACACAAGTTCAGGTGTATACGGTATACGGACCATGAGAGGGGGCATCAAGTGATAGCATCCTGCTCCAAACTCAAAGGTACGTGCAAATAGAAACCAGTTTTGCAAATCGGGCCGTAGGCCAGCTATTTATAGCCCTGGTAGTCATTCGCAGGGAGCCAAGGTAGTTGCACGTGGGGACTTTCTATTCCAAAGTGCCGCTGACGGCGGCGGCTAAAGCAAACTTTGGTCCGTCAGCTCTTGCCTCTAAACCTGAGACAGTAACTTTGAAAAGCCATACCCGAAGCCTACACCCAAAATCCTAAACCCCGTACTGCACACCCCATCCCGACGCTCCACCCTTTCGGCTGACCGATACGCTTAAACCTGAAATCCTAAACCCCGAACCCTCAAAGACCCAAATCCCACATCAGATACGCAGCTTCTGGCTGCATCGCAGTGGAGCCGTTGCATCCCATGGCTTCGACGGGGTGGCCTCCGGCCAACGCGAACAGGGAGCTCCAATGCAGCCCTCCTTCGGGAGGTTTCAGGCTCAGGGCTTACCATAGCGGATAAGATTGCATAGTAGTTGTAGGTTATAGTGGTTTTCAAAATTGACTGAAGTCTATCCATCTCCTGAAGGAGGGCTTCAAGAAGGCAAAACTCGAGCCAGACAACATGCGGAGCCTGGGAGCAGGGCTGGTTGAAGCGGAGGGATTAAGGTTTGGTCCGCAAAAGTCCTGTCCAGAAAGAATGCGCATAGGATACCATTATGGGTCTTCAGGATTATACACGTCGTGATTGGTCCTCCTTGCTGCAAGAAGTTCTAAAGCCCCGAGTCTGTCCTAAAAATTCCAATGCCTAGTTCTGCTATTTTCGGGACCAGCACAGCTATCCTAAACCTAAACCCGTCTTAAATTGCCCAGGGCACAGCCCTAATCATGACTGTGGATATGCGCAAGGTCTGCAACACGATGTCCGGGCTAGGGTTTGGAATTTTCGCGGCTCGACGTTTCACCTCTCACCGATTTTCCAGCCATCCTCAGTGCCCCGCACCAAGCCTGCATCAAGCCTATCTAAACCCAAAACCCCCAAATCGGGATATCCTAAAATCAGGGGTACCTTTTTGGGGTCCCCAAAATAAGGACTATAGTATTAGAGGTCTATATGGGGGGTCCCCCCAATTAGGGAAACTACCACATCACTCCCAGGAGCTGAGACCCTGAACCTAAACCCCGCCTAATGCACAGCTTCCAACCTGCAATCCTGAGCTTATATAAACTCCCCAAATGAACATGGAACCCCATATAGCCCCACTTGTTGGACAGTAGTTTGCAGAGGTTCCGATTTAATTTGGGGGGTAATACCCCACGCGGACTGAGAACTCGTAGCTACCCTACCCGTTGCCTTACTGGGGGTTATTATGGACAATTGCAGCCTGATCTTTCTTGAGCGTTACTTTGCAATCCCTTAGACCTGTAAGGAAAATGTTTTTTCAATCGTCCATTGGCATCCAGGTACAATAAATCTAAAAAAGCCGAGGAGATAGGAGTAATGTTTTCTCAACTAAACATCATATCCAAAGAGCCCAGTAAACCTCCGGGCTCCACGCGAGGATGATGGCACTGCCTCGGCCTACCAAGACGCTTTCTGTTCCCACGTCCTGGCGTTCATGGTTTTGCCGCTTGCATGGCTTGGACGGCTTAGCAAGGTTCGAATCCGGCCGACTCAAGAAGACAACTACACGCAGCTCTCCATCTCCCTTTACCCACAACGAACAGCACAGCGACATAAACGCACATACATACTCACTCAGGAAAGAGGCCTGCGAGGGGGCGCTATGATGACTATTACAACTAGCCCACAAGGTATGGCACAGGCATGCGCAGGCCACATCATTGCAACTCAGCTTGGCAAAATCCCATCGAGCACACCATCTGGCCGCTGGCTACTAGAGGCTCTACACAGAATACTACGCAGGACAAGTTGAGGCATGCGACGAATTAAAATACAGAGGCACAGACGCGCGAGGTAGCTGGCTTGCAAGATGGACAACAACACAACCCCAGATACACCCCTGTTCAGTTACTGTGGTGACATTTTCGCTGTTCATGGTCGTGGCTCGCAAGCGTGCAGTTACACAATCAAGCTTCATCTGTGAGGTCTCATTGCTGATCCGGCAAAACGTGGTTTCTCGAACTGCGACGGCAACTTTTCGGGTGGTCTCAATCCTTTCTCACACTCTGCAGCCTGTCAAAGATGGAGACCATGCCGTCAATGCTCGCATAGGGTGCGGCCAGACCCTGGACCCAGGCGAGCACGGTAAATACCAACGAAACTATCCACCCCGTAAGGTAAGCTGAGGTAATTCTGACCCCCAACAAGGTCTGAACACTGTCGGTCACCTCGGCATTCCTCTGCATGGCCATAAGGTCCAGCTGTTGGGTGAGTTTCCCTCTGGCAGCCCCGCCAGCTCCCCACATCTCTGTCGGGAACAGGGCAGCGTACATCGCGGCATCCGAAAGCACCTCAGCATCCCGCAGCAGGAGCGCATTGATGTCGATCCCATAGCGGAAAACATGCCACATCAAGAAGAATAGTGGGGCAGAAGACAAGTAGACCGCAATCTGAGCGATAGAAACGACACTGTAATTCAACAGGTAATCCATGGCCGCAAACAAAAAGAACACAAAAAGCAGACCGGCGACTGTCACGCCTACGAGTTCCATCTGGACGGCCTCATCTGTGAGGTCGCTGTGAATGTACTTCCGCAAGAGCCACCATGCTTGCAGGTCATGCTGGTATGCAAAGCTTAGACGGTCCGTGTCTTCGTACAACTTTCGGTAAAGTAGTTCCGCATCCCCGCAGGTCAAGCTGCGGGCACGCTTCCGACCGGGACACAAGTGTCTGTTGGGTAACCATAGGTACATCTCTTCCGGATCAGAATAAACAGCTTCTGTTGGGTGGTCGTAATCTTCAGCGAGGACACCAGGAATCTGTGGGTGGGAAGCGAGGACACCAGGAATCTGCTGCCGGATCTCGTACAAGAAGGCCTGTAAACTGCTTTCAAGCTGGATCCTCTTCTGTCTCACGAAATGGGGTTTCTTCTGAGTCTCCTTGTCGTGCAACCAATCCCACGTCTCCTTGACTTCCTCCAGGAATTTCTCTTTCCTCCGCTCATCCAGAGAACTCAGGGCTGCTTGGATCTTCGCTTCCTCGCAATCAGGGAACATTTCCTTCAGGAAGCCCATGTTGACTTTGCAGCCTCTGCGGTTGACGTGACACGTGTCAGTGCAGTAGATTTCCAGCCTGTTTTGGTCTCGCGTTCCGTCAGCTTCAGCCACAAAACAACCATCCAATAACACCTTTGCTCGGGCTCTGTTTCGAGCATTCAAGGACTCCACGCCCGATACGAAGTCTGACCAAGTTGTCAGCCGTGCAAGGCACGAGAAGATCAAAACCTGGCAGATGTTGTGCTCCAAGCCCTCCATTACAGCCATGGCAGCCCACATCAAGTGTGCCCAACCATAAGCAACCAGGGCAGAGGACCCAAGCATGCTGCACCACCACCCTAGCAGCATGTTATCGGAATCGCCGAACAGCCGGTTTCGGGCTGGAAGCTCCTGGGACAGTGCCAAATTTAATAAGCCAAGAACAATTCCTGACATTGATGCGGTCGTTACCACGACGGCAAAAACGTTCGTTGCAGGCTGTGTTTGGCAACATCCTGCATCCAGAGCCCCAAAATGTTCCCTCCAAGGGTGCAATGTCTGCAGCCCCTTCAAAACCTTCCATGCTCGATTGAAGCCGCCAGCTTGCGCCTTACCCTTCCGCAATGGTGCCTGGCTCAGTAACTTGTGATTCTCGACCATGACGCGAGCATAGGCGGAATGGACCTCAAAGGATCTCCAGAAGAAGATAGTAGTGGCGCATAGACTGTTTCGGATGATACTGACCTGCGAGTACTGGAAGAAGGCTGTCAGTGTATCATGCCGATCCATTGCCATAGCAGATACACCCATGGACTCATCCTTGACGGCACTCAGCAGGGAAGATATGTGGATATACTCGACCCCAACGTTAATGTTGGTGTGAAAAAGCCACACCCATATGAAAACCTCGGCAAGGTTCCGCATGACCGAAGCAAAAAAATCGACATTTAGCACCATTGTACCGCATGTGCGAAGTTGATTGCCGGAAGATGACCCATCTCCAAGAATATTTCAGGGCCAGATAAAACATGGCCGGCACGCAGATGCCTGGTAGGACAGCGCACAGGGACACAGCACAGTCCACCAACATTTGGAACCCAAACTCCCGGACCTCCCGAAGAGGCGGGCTATCTGCATTCTTTTCTTGCAGCCTTTCGCCGGTGCTTATGCGCCTGATCCGAATTTCTCCGCTAGCCTGCAGGGGTACAGCCTTAACTTGGAAGGCCTCGTCAAGCTCTTGCGATGCCTCTGCCGAAGGTTGGACGGCCTCGCCTGCTACATCATGTACTTGCCCCTCTGATTCCTCGGCATCCACTGGGGCGGATGGTCCTGGCGCTCCGCGGTCGGGTTTTGACTTCTGTCCCCTGGCCCTGCGCCCAGGAGGCCTCAATCCCCGAGCAGTTTTGCCAGCGTCGCTGACAGCTGCTTTCACCATGGCCAGAAGGGCCCAGTTCAGCCAAGCTACTGAATTTGGAGGGTGTTGGATGTAGGAGTCGACACTTTCTGGATCTGTGCAGGAAGTTCATCAACACATTCGTGTGCCTTGTGTATGCATTACAAGATCATTCGCCCACCGATTGCGATTAGGTTGGTGCTATCTGGACAGGTTTGAAGTCTATGATTTGCTGTGAAGAATGAAACTATTGGCAGGCATCGAAGAGTCGGCTTTCCTCCCCCAGGGTAAAGGCTTCCTCGAAAAAATTGAAGACAGGGATATGGCACATATAGAGAACCAGGGCAGATATTGTGGACTATGCCAGGAAAAGAGAAGGAAGACTGCAGGGCTCGCTCGATTATACTTAGATAGGTTTCATGGGGGCCCTGACTATCTTTTGATTCTGCCTGCATGGCTGCTGCAATCCCACGCCAAGTCGCACGATGCTGAGAAGAATACTGCAGTCTGCTGAGACCGAAAATGAAGATAACATGTTTACTGATACCATCTCGTTCCTTAGGGTTATACTGTAGAAAAACACAAAGAGTTCATGAGGAGACTACAGAATTTATCAGGGTTTCTGCTTTTTTCGCTGAGTTGAGGCGCTCAGATTCCAGTCATGTGTGGGCTCCACCCTAACATGTACATCCTGCTGCGAGGCCCACGTAAACCCATGGGGGAACCCATTGCAATTTCACGAATACAGGGGCCTCAAAAATTACCAGCATCATGCTGAAGTCCACTTGAGAATGGGAAACTGCAGCTGGAAGTCCTCATTTTCTTGGTCTATCACCACATAAATTGCACCTTCCGTTCACAAACCCAGAAATCCATAAAGAGCATCTAAACCTAGGCATGGTCCTAGATGCTAAGCCTGAAACCCTGAGCTCTGAACCTTAAGCTCCGTCCTTTTGGACGAATGCCAGGAATTTCCGCACGTGGCGTAGCGACGGCACCTTGGCGCTCAAGGTCGCTTAAATCCCCGCTACACATGTTCCCCATTATACTGGTACGAGATGTACAAAATTCGGGACGTCAACAAAAGTGCGGTAGGAGGCTGATTCTTAATAGCAAGGGATTACAAAATCCCCGAAGAACGAAGCTGCCCCTCCCTTCAAAGTTTGCATGGTGGCGGGAGGAAGCATTGCAGCACCCAGGGCCCCTGTAATACTTTACGTAATTCCTGGGGTATAAGGTGTACAAGCTTGTACAAAACTTCTCCATCCACAGTAGTAACGTGGAAGGAAGGATTGTTGCAATTTTGGGCGCGTGCACCTTACCGCAGCTGGCATCGGCTGACGTTGGCCGGGAATTTCATGGTCTTCGAGTATGCCTTCCAAATACTGCCCTCCCTGAACCCTGAACCCTAAACCCTGAGACCTAAGCCCTAACCCCTGAACCCTAAACCCTAAATTTTTTCGGTGCTAAGACCTCAAAAGGGACCTACCAACAGCTGCAGCCTGAGGACCGAGGTGGCTTGCCGTGCATCCGTCCGAATCAACAGCACCTGCTCTGCAAATTGTGTGTCATGTTGGGGTTATACAAGGTTATATTCGGGTTTTATGAGGTTATGTTGGGGTCATATAGGGTTATATAATACAGGGTATAATATAGGGAATGTAGGGATAATGGAAAAGAAAATGGAAACTACTATTTAGGGCTTTAGTGTTTGGGGGTTGGGGGTCTAGGGATTCAGGGTTTAGTGCTTAGGGCTTAGGGTTTAGAGACAGCTCACGGAAACTGGCCAAAACTGCGTAGGGAGCTACATGACAAGGCATGTGCCTGCGATAAGCCCCCACCCCATGTAGGCAAGCCTCAACCAAAAACAGGCGCAGAGGAAGTGCACGCAAACAGGTTGAATCGGATGCGAAAGAATTGTACACTGTAACCAAGGTTTGGATTTTAAGGTATGCTTCGCAAACCACTATGCCCTGGCAGCATGCCGGCAGCAACCACAGATGGTCAAACAGCTTCCTCCAGTTCCACAGTCTCACTGTCATGAGCCTGACAAGTGTACGATCTCAACTTTCCCTTCAAGAAAATCCAGCCTTCCAAACCTGAACCTAGGAGGTAACCGCACATAGCACTGTGGAAGCTGCATATGCCTGTTGCTTTGCAAGAACCCCAGTGAGAAAGCCAAGCCAAGCCCAGCCACAACTTCCAGATCTCTAAGCCCAAGATCTGCAAGCAGTAGCAGCAGTAGCAATAATAAAAGCTGTGCTGTAGCAGAGGTAGGAGTAATGGTAGAGCTAGTAGCAGTCATCGCAGCAGTAATGGCCATGATAATCATAATTGCAATCACTGTAATCGCGCTGGCAGCCAGAAGACCAACAACAAGTAACATATTAATTGGTGGTGGCGGCGAGGGTGGGCTCGGCGGCGGCAGGGCCAGCGCGGGGCGGCGGCGCGGCATGGTCCTTCACCGTCACGGCCGTCTCCGTCCCGCCGCCCGCAGAGCGGTCGCTGCGCCCCGCGGTCGTCGTCATCAGCGTAATCATGATATAGCGTGGTCCTGTTCTTGGTAGTGGTAGTACTAGTAGTAGGAGGAGTAATAGTAGTAGTAGTAGTAGTAATAGTAATGGTAATGGTAATGGTAATGGTAATAGTAATAGTAATAGTAGTAGTTGTAGTAGCAGCAGCAGCATGTGAAGGAAGCGGTAGGATGATGCATGTCCACCGCTTTATTTGTAGGACTCATAATAGCACAAAGGATGGTGATAACGGCAATAATTTCCCACAGCCGAAGCCGTAAGACCCCGGCCATCTCTGGACGTTTTGCCAAGTTCATCATAACACGCCTGCCGAAGCGCGAAGGCTATTGGCTTTGCAACGAATCTGGGAGATGGGTGGATGGAGGAGGGGC